GGCAGGATAAGTATCTTCCAGTCCAGGGAGAGGTAACCCCATTCCTCTGCCAGGGGAGACGGAGTCACAGAGCCCGAGGCATGGGTTGGCCAGGGCAATGGAACATCCCAGAGAAAGGCAGTAGACTCCTGGGGGTGGGGCGGAGCTGAGCACCTGGGGGTATCCCTTCTGCCCCTGCCCTCCTCACACACCCATCACCCAGACATCTGTGCAGATAGATGGGAGAGGCAGGCACAGCAGGCCTTGGCGCCTCTGGGCTCCTCTCCTGCCTCAGGAAGAGGTAGGGGGCTGTCCCTGTGGGAAAGCCTGAGCTGGCCCAGGTGTGGGTGAGGGACCCAGGGCAGGGCAGGCCTTCTGCCCCAGGGTTTCCGCTGACATCACAGCCAGCTCAGGGTGAGCCAGGGCCCTCTGGGCTCCTGCCCACTGCAAGGAAAGGGAAAGTGCACACCCGCTGCCTTCGCTCCCCGCCCAGCACCCCACCCTGGAGTGCATGCTGGCAGAAAGGGAGAGGCTGTCTGCTGGGGGTGTGGAGTCCAGGGGTGCCTCGGCTGACCCCCCTCAGCCCTGGGGGCCCTTGAGCCCACCTGGGTTCTCTCTTCACAGACACACTGTGGACAGCCTCTCAGAAATCAGAAGCTGGCCCTTAGCGGGCCAAGCAGAGTGGAGCGTGTCCTCCAACTCCTGGCTCCCTGCTCATTCTGGGCTTCCAAGCCTCTGCTCTGGGAGCTACAGTGCAACTGAGGGGGCTCAGTGCTCATGGTCTTTCATTCACTGAGCCGGGAGGGGGCAGTGTGGGTGCCTGGACCTTGTCACAGAGCTGGGTGCTACCGGTGGTGGTGGGGACCCTGCCCTAGGCAAAGACGACGGAGAGTCCTTAAATGTCACTAGAGTCTGTTCTGCTCCACCAGCCTCTGCTCCTTCCAGGAACCCCCACCTCTAGCCCCCATTCCCACCTCAAATAACTGACGTCAGACAGCCCTTCCTGGTCGCGTTCCTGCAGTGCCCCTGGGCCAGTGAGTTCATCTTCCCAGACCTCAATTTCCTCATGTATGAAACCTGGATGCTCGCTCCTCTGGGGGTTGCTGGGAGGGCTAACTGGCAAGAACTGAGCTTAACCTGTTGCAGCCAGAGCTCTACCTAAAAACCAATGCCAATTCTGACTCAGGACAGAGTAAACCACCAGTTTCCAAGGCCATGATCCTTGAGGACAGCCAGCCACAGGTTTCTTTTCAACCATTGCCCTCTGGGGCGTCTAAGTATAAAAGCAGCTGAGCATACAGCAAAGCAAAGCTGCTGGAAGAAGCCCAGCCCCGAGCAGGCTGCCTTCAACCTGTTTCTCGCTGACCCCAGCCACTGGCATGGAGTTGGCCCTCAGAAATGTGGGGTAAATAAATGGGTGAGCTAGCCAGTGTGCCTCCTCCGCTCACCCACTGGGAGAGGACCAAACTCATATCTCCCCAAATTCAGAGGCAGCGGCAGCAGCAAAGGACTGGTGTCTCAGGCATCTGGAATCTCTTCTCTGGGGATGCCTACTGCAGGGGAGGGAAGAGAATAGGAAGGGTGGGTGCACACCGGACCCTTCTGAGACCCATCACCAGGTGTTCGTCTTGCTCCCGCCTGGCCCTGTGGCTGTCACTGATCAGGTCTATGATCTGGGAGGCAGAGGTGGTGACAGAAGATGCAGTCTCTCTTCTTCAGCTCCCAAATGCTCCCAATATCCAGAGGGACAGGCACGTCGGGAGTTGAGGGGGCTTGTCCCCAGCCATGACATCCCATTGCAAGGAGCTCCCCACTCTCACCTCCCTCTTGGCCCTAAATGCAGGTTGGTCTCACACAGTTTAATAAGAAAGGATCCCTTGTGACCCGAGATACACTCTTGAAGGCAGAGTGGGGTTTTCTTCAGCCTACTGTCTCATGCAGGGCCTTGCATCAATGGAGACTTGAGTAAGGCCTGCAAAATGTACCATGGAACAGATGGAATGTTCTCTTCCAGGGGACGATTCTCTGGAGCCAAGTGGGGTCGTAGCTCCTTGAACCTCTGCTGCTCCTCCCTAGCAACCCCAGACTGTTAGAACTGGAAGAACCCATAATAGGAATCCATTTCTGAGACCCAGAGGGGAGCAAACTTTTCTGAAATGCCTCAGCTAGAAACCAGAGGGCAGCCACCACCTGTCCTACCCCATCCTGCAGAAACCCTGGACTGTGGGACTCTTGCTCTGTCTCTCTTTTGTCCTTTCTTCTCCCACCTCATTTGGGGACTTGGCAGAATAAAGGCACAGTCTTTAGTCCAGCCCCCACCCCAACCCAACTGGCAGCTCCTAACCTGCTGTCTTTGCCCGGACATGGCAGAGGGGCACTGGCAGCTTGGAAATGGAGTTGATTTTCCCCTTGGCAGGGTGGCAGGTGGGGGAGGGGAGAGACCAGCGCCCACGGGAGGGGGAGGGGGAGGGGAGAGGGCAGGGCACAAGTCTGGACGAGAGGTAGAGAAAGAACACGACTTTCCCAACTTGTGGGGTCACGACACCAGAGATTTAAGACAAACTGGGGGTGCATACAGTACAACCATACCCATGTGGCCTGGGTCCCCTTTTAGAACTGCAGCCCCAGAGCCTGCAAATGCATGCTTTCTAGACTCTCCAAGTGAATATTTGCATGGGGTGGGGGTGGCATTGTCAAACTCCCCCTTTCTTGCCTCTTCCCCTTCCTCTTCCTCATGGGGGTTCCTCCCCCTCCTCCCTCTTCACCCTTGCTCTCCCTCCCACCCTGCTGCCTCTTTGTGTCTCCTCTTTCCTCCCCTGGTCCCCTCTCCTTCTCACTCCTCTTCCCAGGCCCCCACCCTCGTTCTTTGGCTCCCCCTCTCCCTCTTTCTCCTACTCATAGCCCCCTCCTTTCCCTCCTCCTCCTCCCCCCTGTGTGGGGGCTGCTTTCTCCCTGACTCAGCAAGGTGCTTTATAAGGTGCTGAGGGCTCCGCCAAATCCAAACCACATTGTCTGTGCAGGCGCCTCAACTCGGAGGGAGCAGGCTGCACAGCAGAGGGGCAGGGCTGGGGCCGCTCCCCTGCCGGCTCCCTCTCTCAGGCAGGCAGCGAGGCTGCAGGGCCCTCCTGGGCAGCCTCAGTGCCTGTCACCCACTGGGCATCTGCCTTCTTGACCTTGACATAGGCATCAAGGGATGGTCAGCTCAGTTGCCAATAGTTTCAACTCCAGAGCCCTGGAGAATTGGGGGGTGGAGGGGCTGGCCCAGCACCCTTCTCTCAAGGGCCCTCCAAAGCAGGTTTCATCTGATCTGAGCTGCTACTGGAATCCCAGAAAGTCCCCTGCCCCCAACACCAGACCAGCTCCCCTTTCCCAGCCCTTTTCTCCTTGTTTAGGGGGGAAAAAAAAAAAGAAGAGAGAGGAGGGGAAAAAAAAAACCCAACAACAAAGTCTGTCCCACTCCAGTGAGGTAATTGAAAACAAACTTCTTCCCCACCCCCCCACCCCCCCATCCCGTCCTTGCCGTGCAGAAAAGGGAAGCGCTGCCCCAGGGGCCCTGGCCGCAGCTCTGACCCACTGGCTGCAGGGGCTGAGCTTGGCTGGCAGAGCGCCCCCTTTCTTGGGGGGCATGGGGGCAACACTCCCAGGAGAACCTGGGCAGGAATCTGGAGCAGAGGGCGCCTCACCTTCCAGGTCTGGTACACCAACCACTTCTCCCCCTTCAAACAACAAATCAACAACAAATGCAGCCTCTTCCGGAAGGGTTTAATTGGTGGCCTGCCTCTAGAGCACCCCAGCTGGGAGACAGACCCAGTAACTGTCCCTGAGGAAAAGTCACAGAGTGGGGATGTCTGTGACCCCAGAGGGAGAAGTACTTCCTCTTCATCCCCCCTGGAAGCCTTGTGTGACAGGAGGAAAAGCACCTCCAGGGACAGGCCTGGTTTACAGGTCCCCTAGGTACCCAGTCCAGCAGCTGACCCAGGCCCGAGGGCAGGGGGGAAGCTGCTCTGCACCCAGACCACCACCCCTCGCCCACCACCAGCAAGGCTACGACCCCCAAGGCCCCAAGGTCGGAGATTGCTAAATGGCTTTCTAGGGAAGCAGTTAAGAAATGGGGGCTCTGGGCCATTCATCGTCCATCGCCAGAATGGGGAGAGTCCCCCTCGCTGAGTCACCCTCGAAGGCTGTGTGTTGAAACTGGTCGGCTGCCTCGTGCTGATTAATGAATTACAAATCCCCCGCCCGTGTGCGCTCCATCGCTCGTCACTGAGAAGAATGAAGAACCTTGTGAACTCCGGGAGAGCCTCGCCAAGTGCCCTCTTCTCGCCCGGGCTGGGCAGCGGGCCCCCGGCTCCCCCGCAGGGGCCACTGCGAGCCGGTTAGTCACCTGCCCCAGCGGCGGAGGCGCCTCGCTCAGCCCCGCTTCTGGAAATGGGACAGGCGGCGGGACAATAGGCAGGGGGGGGGGCGGTCGGCCCAGACAAAGGGCAGCAGGAAAAACACCATCACTTGCTGCGAGGCCAGCTCGCTGGCATTTGGGAAAATGTGTCATTGCATTTACTCAGGGGAAGAGGAGGGGGAGGAAGGGAAGGTTAGCGATGAAGAGGGCAAGGTAGGGTGGGCGCAGCGGCGGCAGTGGGCGGCGGGGGAGCAGGCGGCCCTGGGCCCACACTACCCGGGAAGGGGTGCAGGGGACCAGCACCCCCCAGGCCCTGCCTCTGGAGTTCGCAGGGAGACCGATGCCCTCCCCGCCCCCTCCCCCAGGAGGCCCAGGGTGGTACCGCCGCCTGGCCTCACCTCATCCCCCCTCGGTGCTGTGGGAGGGAGAGGAGCCCCAGAAGCCCTCCCTTCCCTCCTCCCCTCCTCCCCCCACCCCGGGGAGGGCCGCTACAATTTGTGGTTACAGCTTTACACGTCAGAAAAAAAAAAAAGTTTGCAGAATGTCCCACACTGAAAAAAAAAAAAAAAATCCGAAACCGAGCGAAAAAAACCTGCGAGTGGGCCTGGCGGATGGGATTATTAAAGCTTCGCCGGAGCCGCGGCTCGCCCTCCCACTCCGTCAGCCTCGGGAGAGGAGCCGCGCCCGCCGGCCGCCCCCAGCCCCATGGACCTCCGAGCAGGTAGGACCGGCCCCGGCCCCCGCCCCCGCCCC